GAAATATCCTGTGTAGTGACATATGGCAAAACTTTAAGCTAATAGCCTAGCAGGAACCAGGGGCTGGATGTTCATTTACCCATAACGGTCAGATGCTCTTCTGCATGTTTTTATTGATGATAACCACAGCTCCTGGTAATTATAAGGAGAAAGGGAGCAAGGGAAAATTGTATTACTGCCCGCCTTAAAATATTTGTAAAAAGCCCAATTCTCCCAACCCGTAAACTGCAAATCCCTTGGAGAACCTATTTGTACATCTTAGGACCACTGCTGAGCAGGGTTTGCACTAAAAACATCAACAGGAAAAGCACAACTAAACCCTCAGCCTGCGGCACCTACAAGGGTGCTGGAGAGGGACTCTTCATCAGGGACTGGAGCGATAGGACAAGGGGTGATGGGTTCAAACTGAAACAGGGGAAGTTCAGGTCAGATCTAAGGAAGAAGTTCTTTACAGTGAGGGTGCTGAGGTGCTGGCACAGGGTGCCCAGAGAAGCTGTGGCTGCCCCATCCCTGGCAGTGTTCAAGGCCAGGTTGGACACAGGGGCTTGGAGCAACCTGGTCTAATGTGAGGCACCCCTGCCTGTGACCCAGGGTTGGAACTGGGTGATCTTAAGGTCCTTTCCAACCCAACCATTCTACGATTCTACACACCCTCGATATGACAGGGTTGTTTCTCCTCCTGCTGTGCCCTGACTGCTTGTTTGCTGTTTGTTCTGATGCTGCAGGGAATAACTGGCATCTTCTTCGTGGGACTTCAAAAATGCTTCATCAAAACTCAGACTAAAGTCCTACCTGAGACTACAGAGGCCAAGATCCCAGAGCTTGAGGTAGGTGCATAGGGCAGCCCTGTGTTCCCGGTGAAACCCTCTCCTGTGCCCAGCACTGGGCGCGCAGCACCATCCCCACCGCCCTCCCATCTGCCTCTGCCTTCCCAGAGACGATGCAAGAAAGGAATAATGAGTTGTGATCGCTCCATAAAATGATCTTATTTCAGAGGATTGATTCTGAAAACAAGTGGAAAGAGGCAGGATTAGGCTGCTGGCAGACAGAAACCTCTCTGCACAACACCGCAGATCAAGAACAATAATCCTGTTGTAGTCAAAAGGTCGCAAGGCAGCTCAGGATTAGCAGGCACCGAAAAGTCAATCAGATTGTTTTCTCCCCGAGCTGAGCCGCATGTTCTCAAGCAGAATGAGGCAGAAGTAATGAATTTAATAGAGCAGCCATGTTTAAGGAATGGGATTTGAGGGAGCGCTTGGCGCGCAGCCCTGGAGGTGGGAAGCTCCGTGGCCGCCTCCCCTTCCTTTGTGAATCTGTATGTTGCTCTAGTGGAAGGTGGCCCTGCCCGCGGCTGGGGCTTGGAGCTGGATGAGCCTCCAGGTCCCTTCAACACAAACCAGGCTGGGATTCTACGGCTGTAACCCCTCTCTGACAGCATAACCCGCGGTGGTGGCTCAGTCCCTCGAAAGCACCCCTACTTGTCCCCATCCCCATGCTCCCTGCGGTGGCACGGCCCTCCTGCCTCCCCCTTTGCAAGATGAGGGGAGTCAGCACTCTGGACCCCCCAGGGAAGCTGTTGCAGATGAAGCACCAGCAGGACACGTGTTTGAATCACAGCGTGGGCAGAAGCATTTCCCTGAATCATGACCCACATTCCCAGGCACTGATTCTTTGATTATGCCATAAGAAGCTAATAGATCTTTTCAGCTACCGCTGTAAAAGGGATACGACTTCCCAGGCTTTAGCAGAACGTTGCCCCGGGTAGAGAGCTGCAGTGTAAAACCCAGGGAGATAAATGTAGAATTAAGCTCATGTCTTCCCAGAGCCTGTGTGCTGCCAATGTCCTTCAGGCAGCACCTCTCCAGCCCAGCTGCTCTCACCATAGCCTCCAAACCGACTCAGGCTGGGTCAGGTTGTGTTGGCTCTTCCCTAAGAATTCCCAAAACCATAAGGGAAAGCTCTATAAAAGAGAAATCCAGCTCCAGATGCCTCCTGGAAAGGAAAGAGATGCTGCTTGCCAGCTTGCTTTATGGGCTACCACCACCACCACCACACACAAGTCGCCTCAGCAGATAGCTCAGCGCAGACCCGTTCAATAATCTTTATATATCTCCCTCCCTAAGCGCCTGCCAAAACACACCACGGACTAATGCAAGGGCAGAGACATGTGCTATAAATTACAGGATACGGCCGTGCAAAGAAGTTCTGTGAGGAATAAATTAAAGCGTTCGATCACAAAATCGGCAGCAGAAGGAGAGAGAAATTAAATAGTAAGAGAAAAGCAGAGAGGGGATGGTTTAATCTCGGGTTTTAAATGAGCTGGGGCGCTCCAGAAGGCTCCTCCAGATGGTTCGGACCACACAGGAGAAGGCTCTTGAAGCATGATGAACAAGGAGAGGAGAGCAGGGTGGTGTTGGCTGAAAGGAGGCAGGAGAGATGAGGCTCATGGTGGGACCAGCTGGGTGTTGCATGTGCATTGGGCGAGCACCACAAGGCAGAGGAAGTCAAGCTGCTCTCTGGGAAGGGAAAGGCACCTCTGGGTAAGCCAAGGGGAGGAAGAGGGTGTCTCACAATGCAGGGGTGAAATCTGGCTCTTCTTCCAGGGAGAAGAAATCACGACCACGTACTTTGAGCAGTCTGTGGTCTGGGTGCCCGGGGAAAAGCCCATCCAGAACAAGGAGTTCCTGAAGAGCTCCAAGATCTTTGACATCTGCAGAAATGTGACCATCTACTGGATCCACCCCACACCCATAGCAGGTACAAGGAGCCATCTCCTATCCAGAGGCCCCTCGCTGGGACCAGCCCTGTCACCCACCATGTCCCCCAATGTGGTAGGAACCTGTTTCCATGGGCTTACTGTGCAGCTCAGACGTGAACATGATGGCAGGAGAGCACAGCCAGTGCAACAGCAAGGGCTGAAGTGTCTCTGTGCAAAGCACTTGTCTGCTGGCTCCGCACTGACCCGCGCTTTGCAGAGTGGCTACTTTCCTCCCTCATAACAAGGCAAAACTAAACCCCCTCTGTACCTGTGAAGAAGCTGACACTGCTGGAAATGGGGGTACATCAATCCTCATCACTGCGGGAACACCCGAGCATGAGCAGACATCCACATCTAAATCACACAACGGGGTTGCAGCTCCGGCTCTCCCTGCGCTGCCCTCGCAGAGGTTGTGGCCTCTGAGATGTGCCGGTGCAATTACCCACTTCTCATAACCCACTTCTCTGAGCTGGTTTCAAACACCCTCCCTCTGCTGTGCGGCCACCGAGGAGCATCTCATCCCCCCTGGGTACCAGTCAGCCACTGATGCTCCTGGCAGCAAGTGGGCATCAGAGATCCCCGCTGCACAGGGAAGACGCTGGCCCCTTTCTCCTCAGTCCCCACTCTTAGACCCTATTTGCAGCTGGGTTTCAGCAAAGGAAATCAATGTCACTGTGGTGCTATGGGTGCTGGGCCTAATCTGCCCCAAATCATGTTGCTTTGCTGGTGTCCTACAAGTTCCTCCCCACAGAAGCACCATGAGGAGGTGCTTCCCCACTCCCCCATGAAGATAATACCAACAACCAACCATGGGCACCCACCACCCATGAACATGGGGAGGGAACAGGACATGCTTTCTCTACCCTTTCCTCTCACCATATTATGCCCTACAGCCCTTCCAGGCCTGGTAAGAGCTAGTTTGCTGGTGGGCTTCTCTTGTACCTTGGCACCAGATTTTGGTAGAGACATTAATACCTGCTGCTGCATTTGCTCCTCTGCTCCCTGCTTGTTGACAACAACATCTGGGCTCTTCCTGTAGCTCCTGAGCTGGCCAACCTTGAAGGGGCAGAAGAAGACGACCCTGAGCTGCTCATAGACAACCAGAGCTGGTTGGACGGGGGGAGCGAACACGAGGTGGAGAAGGATGAGCAGCCAGGGCCCAAGCGTCGCGCACGGCAGCTCACTGAGGAGGACCTGCCCGTCAATGACTACGTGAGTGCAGGGAATGACACCCTGGGGTGCCCTGGCCATGGTCCCAGGGAGTCCTGGTCACGTTCCTGGGGTGTCCTGGCTGTGCTCCTTGGGATGTCATTGAATCATAGAAGGGTTTGGGTTGGAAAGGACCTTAAGATCATCCAGTTCTAACCCTCTGTCACCGGCAGAGATGCCGCACATCAGACCAGGTCGCTCCAAGCCCCTGTGTCCAACCTGGCCTTGAACACTGCCAGGGATGGCCCCCGGTGCCAGCGCCTCAGCACCCTCACAGGGAAGAGCTTCTTCCTTATATCCAACCTGAACTTCCCGTTTCAATTTAAACCCATCCCCCCTTGTCCTCTCACCCATCCACGCTCCTTGGGATGCCCTGTCCATGCCCCTGGGGTGCTGCTCCTCTACCCCGGGGGCATCCCGTCCATGCTCGGGGGTGCCTTGGCCACGCATCCCCCTCGCTGTGCTGACGCTGTCTCTTCCCGGCAGTCGGAGAACGGGCTGGAGTTCCACCCGCTGTGGGACGAGCACGGCTACT